ATTCTGCAGGAGAAAGATGAGAATTTCTGCTCTGGCAAACACATGTTGTTTTTGTTGTTAAGTGCTGTCCAGTTGGTTCTGACCCATAGCGACCTTTAACAGGGTTTCTGAGGCTGTAAGTCTTACGGGAGCAGAAAGCCTCATCTTTCTCCCATGGAGCAGCTGGTAGTTTCGAACTGCTGACCTTGCGGTTCGCAGTCCGATTCATAACAAGTACGCTATATATACTGCCTCATAAATCCTAATTAGGATCACTATGGGTCGGAAGAGACTCAATGGTATTTATCAACAACAACAAATGTGAGCAGAAGCATAACAAAAGTTGGAAGATGACACAAGAACAGGCAGTTTTTTGTTTTATTGTGCTTAGGGTTGCTATGATTCAGCCAACTCAATGCCACCTAGCAAGCAACAACATACAAACGAATATGTCACTTTGAGGACTAAGGTGTCTGTGACCCAAGCCATGGTATTTTCAGTCACCTCATATACATGTGAAAGCTGAAAATAGATAAGGAAGACTGGAGAAGAACTGATGCCTTTGAATTGTGGTGTTGGCAAAGAATATTGAAAGTACCATGGACTGACTGCCCAAAGATACAAGGAATCTATTTTGGAAGAAATACAGCCAGATTGCTCCTTGGAATCAAGGATGAGGAGATTTTGTCTCCTGTACTTTGCACATATTCTTAGGAAGGACCAATTCCTGGAGAAGACATCATGATTGATGTAAAGCAGAGGGTCAGTGAAAAAGAGGAGCACCCCCAACAAGGTGTTTGACACAATGGCTGTAACAATGGATTCAAACATAACAATTGTGAGTATGGCACAGGACTGGGTGGCATTTCATTCTCTTGAACATAGAGACATTATGAGTCAGAAGTGACTCAATAGCACCTAACAACAAGAACATATAATTCTAAAACCCATTCTCTCCTCACTACTTAATTCCTGGGTTCTAGTAATGCTGAGTTAGACCTCATTTCCTAAACACTGGCCTTGCTTTTGGTCAGGTCTGAATGGTCTTGGGAACTCTTCCAAGAACATCCATGTTTTTCAAATTCACCAGCTTTGTGTCTGTCTTAGGGTTTTACTCCAGGATGTTTCTCCCACTTAGAATACCCTCCCTCCTGATATTCCATAAAAAACAAGAGAGCAGATAGGATAGACTGAAACAAGCACAGACAAAACCAGGGAGAAAAGTGAAGAAAACTCACATTCCCTCTAAGTGCACACATGAAGTTGTCGGGCATCAGACACTTTTCAGTAGTTGCAACAATTGTCAACTTGTGAGCAGTCTTGCTTCATCTATCCGGTTTTCCGCTTCCTCCTCAAACCTGGATTGATTTGAAGCAAATACCAGATGCTGTATTTCATGTGGAAATATTTCAGCTGCTTCTACTCCCGTTACTTCTAACTGTTTTGTTATGGGCCCTATGGTTTCTACTTGCACATTGTTTCTTGTACTCATCACTTCTACTCACTACCTGCTCTTTATCTTCTCAAACCCTTTTTCCTTCATGTTGTTGTTGTTTTTAAGTGCTGTCGAATCGATTCTGACCCATAGTGACCCTGTATAGGGTTTCTGAGGAACAGCTGGTGAGCTTGAACCACTGACCTTGCAGTTCAAATGTCTTTGGTGAAGTCTGGCTCATTAACCCACAGCACCACACTAGGACTCTTTTCCTTCATACTGACTCTCAAAAAACAAAACAAACTCACTGGCATCAGATCAATTCAAACTCATAGTGACATGGATGTAAATCTTTACAGGAGCAGAAAGCCTCATCTTTATGTAGCTGCTGGTGGGTTTGAACTGCTGACTTTGCAGTTAGCAATCCCGTGCTTATCCTACAGTGCCACTAGGGTTCCTTATTCAACCTCCCTAAAAAGAGTCTTTTAGCTACAGTTAGTTGCTATGCGTCTTTTGCTCATAAACAGTGTACATACACTGGCAGTGTGCAATGGGTTGGCTATTCTTGGTCAGGCATCCTCTCTTGGTCAATCAGAATGATGTCATGATAAGGCCAAAGCCAAAACAAGCCCACTGTAAGTATTTATGGGAGCATCTTTCTCCCTTAGAGGGACTGGTGAGTTTTGAACAGCCAACCTTGAGGTTTGCAGCCAACACCTAACCCACAGCATCACCAGGGCTCCTTATGACAAAGTTAATTTTCAAAAAAATAAAGCAAAAAAACCCAAGTTGTAGAAATGGTAGTCACTTAGCAAATAATAGACCTTGCTCCAATACAATCCTCCACTCCTCTGTCAGTCTCCAGCAGAATAAATAGTGGAAACGTAACTCTAGATAAGTTATAAATTGTGAATTGAATATGAGCCTGCAACAACTTCAATCTTTTCTCCATTTATCATGATGTTATTTATTGTTCCAGCAATAAAGCTAGAAATAGATAAATGCCTAACTACTTAATTGTTTTACAGTCTGACCTGACTTTTGCTATTCTTAGGTGACACTAAAGAACTAAAAGGACTTTTTCCCTAAGATTTTTTTTTTGATTTTAAGAAGCTGAGTAGTAGCATAGATCATAATGTACTAGACTGAAAGTTAAGACCTACATATAATCCCTGCATTCATTATGAACTCTGTACAACACTAGAAAACTAATAAAGTTTTTTGTGCCTTAGTTTCTCATCTTTCAAATGAGATTATTGATGATTGCTTTTTCCTATTTCAGAGAGATATATGGGCAAGTAAGATAGAGAAGAGAAAGCACTTTGAACCTCTATTTTAAAAGCATGTGGAAAATTACTGTTTCCTATATGAAGTTTTTTTGAGGTTATATAATAAATAATATATTTGTTTGGTTTTAGTTTTGCAAAATGTTATTTCTTCTGTAGTCTATTCATTTTCATCACGTACTCAAACATTTTTCCTCCCACATTGTAATAGGTGCTATCATTTGGAACACTGCTTGGCATATAAGAACTGTACAAACGTTAGCTGTAATCTATATGAAAAAGAATATGCCAGATAAAAGTCCAGGAATTTACAAATGCTGAAAGAATTGGCCTACCTCTTACCCCTTACTATTTACCAGTTGCTGTCGAATTGATTTTGATTCATGGTGAACCTATGTATATCTCAGAGTAGTTTTCAGTGGCTGTTTTTTGTTTTTTGTTTTTTTTAGATTGCCAGGAGTTTCTTCTGAGGCTCCTCTGTGTACACTAAAATCCCCAACCTTCAATTCATTAAATTAATCATTTGAACCATATAAGGACTGCCCTCATTTATGGTTACTGTTATTAAGTGCTGTTGAGTCAGTTCCAACTCATAGTGACCCCGTATAGGGTTTCTGACATTGCAGTTCAAACAGACTTTGTTGTCCAGTGCTTATCCTACTAGCACCATACCAGGACTGTGCCCTCTAATATACACACTTATTAAACTCAATTGCTTGAAGAACATTAAATAGTATATCATGTGACAATGACATTTTGAACCCTGGCAAGTAGTAGTGGATGTGTTTATGTGTTTGAAAAAACATGAAAAGTGACATTTTTGGTGTCTGATGGTCCAGATATTCCCAAAGACTGGTTAGAGGATTGTTGTTGTTGTTATTAAATGCTGTCGAGTCAGTTCTGACCCATAGCAACCCTATATAGGGGTTTCCAAGGAGTGGCTAGTGAGTTTGAACTACTGACGTTTTGGTTCATACAGACCTTGTAGCCCAGTACTGTATCTCACAGTATCTGGTAGTTTTCTAAAATCCCTGACCCTAGTTTCAGAGTTTCTGATTTAGTAGAGGTATAAATACAAAACTTTTTAAAGTTCCTCAGGTGATTCTAATTTTCTATCAGGTCTGGAAATTACTGACAGTGTGAGGAAATAGAATGTTGTTGTTGTTGTATGCCCTGGAGTCAGTTGCCACTCATAGCGACCCTGTACAGGATTTCCGAGGCTGTAAATCTTTACGGGAGCAGAAAAGATTCATCTTTCTCCCGCGGAACAGCTGGTGGTTTTGAGTTGCTGACCCTGAGGTTAGCAGCCCGATTTGTGACCACTACGCTACCAGAGCTCCTTGAGGGAATAGAATACAGCTGTTTAATTTAGTATATCACTTGTTTCCTATCAGATTATTCAAGGTGATATAAATGTGAAAATACACCTTCTACACCTAGAAAAGAGGACTGCTACTGCTGTGGGCCATTGAGTTGGTTCTGGCTCCTAGCAAACCTGTAGAGGGTTTCTGAAGCTATAAATCTTTACGAAGACGAAAGCGTCATCTTTCTCCCATGAAGCAGCTGGTGGATTTGAACAGCTGACCTTTCAGTTACCAGCCCAATGTGTAACCACTACACTACCAGAAGAGGATTGTTGTTGTTGTTGTTGTTGTTGTTGTTAAGAGCCGTTGAGTCGGTTCTGACTCATAGCAACTCTGTATGGGTTTCCAAGGAGTGACTGGTGAGCTTGAACCATCGACCTTGAGGTCCAAACCAACTTTGCAGTCCAGTACATTAACCTGCATCATTACAGCAGAGGACTAAGAGGATATTTATTACAACCAGAATGGTGATTATCTCTGGATTGTAGGTTTATGGGAATATGCATCTTGTATTTGCATTTCTATGTTTCTAAGCTTTTTGGCTGAGACTATATTGCATTTATAACAATAGATATTACCAAGGGGCATATTCATTGACAGTGTAAGATTTTGAAGATTGCCCCATGCAGCTTACCAAATGTGAAAAAAGGCTACTTGTAAAGCAATTTGGGGGCAACATATTTTATTTTTTAGAAAATCACAATTTTTTTTGAACATCAATAACTGTACAGTTTATGGAATGCCAAAAAAAAAAATCCTAATATTTTACTTTTATTTTGGAAAATGGAAATGCAAATCATTAGCCAATGTTTATAAAGAACTAATCAGTCTGTAACCATGAACTTGATGGGGTGAGAAAAAAAGTTCTGGCACAATATACTTTTTTCATTCAATACATCTTGATGCATGTTGTAGGTTCAGCTTCAAGAACAATGCTCATTCCTTTTTAAAGATCCTCTTGGCTTCTACTCCTTCATATAAATAAGTCTGGAAGTATAAACAAACATTGTTGAATTTACCATGAAGATTTAAGGCAAAATTAAGAAAAATATTAGCTTTACTAGATCTTTCAAATTAGTTCACATTATATTTTTCTTGTACTTGGAAGTAGCATTTTATGTACGTATGTTGTCATTAAGTGCCATCAAGTTGGTTCTGGTTCTAACTCACAGCAACCCTTTATAGGGTTTCTGAGAAGCAGCTAGAGGTTTGAAGCATTGGTCTTGTAGTTAGTAGTCCGCGGCTTATCCTATAGCACCACACCAAGACTCATATATATATATTTGTTGTTGTTAAGTGCCAGCGAGTTAATTCTGACCCATAGTGATACTGTATAGGGTTTCCAAGGAGTAACTGGTGAGCTTGAACCGCTAAACTTGCAATTCAAACGACTTTGCAGTCTGGCACATTAACCCACAGCGCCACACCAGAAAACACACACACATATATGACACACCAATTTAGAAAGCATTTTGGCTTGTAGTCAATGACACTTTGTTAAAATAGACATTGGTATCTTGTATATATCTAAGCTCCCTTTAAAAGGCATCAGAAAATACACTTTTTAAATCAGTAAGATTTAGATAAAAGTTGTAACTGTGTATGTATTGAAGATATAATCTAGCAACCATAAAAAGAGAATTATTTTTGTTTGGGGAGAGTTATAATCTTTTTACAACTTACGTGGACCAGTTCACCACCAATGATTTCTCTGACAGTATTCAGCTCTTTCCCATTGTCTACTCGAGTGAATCTTCCAACCAGTTTGTTTCCCTCTATATTCCAGGTTCCCTGAACAAAAACAAGAGTCAACACAGGAGCCAAACACTGTTTGAGCTCTACAAATCCACTTCTTCATTTACTTTTCACAATAACCCTATGAAGGCAATTCTTATCTCCGTTTTGTAGGTGAGGAGACGGAGACACAGTTGTTTACTGTAGAGTCTGTGGTGGTAACTATTATGCTTACTTTCTTCGATAATTTCCATACACTGAATGAATGATAAGGCAGGGAAACACAGTCATCTCCTTTCTAATCCTTTTGTGTTAAGAACAATGCCCTGAATTTAGTCAAATTAGTTTCATGGAGAGGATAACAACTCTATGGTGGTTTTAATTCCTGTGGTTGTGGTGAAATGACCATCATTGATATAAAATATCCAGTAGTTATATTTTCATTGTAGATGTAGCATAAGTTAGCTAGAAATAAATTCTGAGGCTAAAGAAAACCAGTTGAAAACAATGGTTACCTAAAATTTTATATTTTAAACATTTAAAGATATATTCCCAATGGTCTGTAGTATAGCATTAGATCTTTCCATTTGGTTACTTATTAATCCACTATCTATTTATTCATTTCATTATTTTAATCTAACTATTAAATGCCTTGTTGTTGTTAAGTACCATAGAGTCAGTTCCAACTCATAGTGACCCTGCACAGGGTTTCCAAGGCTGCAAATCTTTATGGGAGCAGAAAGCCTCATCTTTCTCCTGCAGAACAGCTGGTAGTTTCGAACTGCTGACCTTGAGGTTAGCAGCCCAAACTATAACCACTACTAAATTCCTGATGCCTATCAAATACTATCACCTCTTACTCAATAATTTTAGATGTTAAGAAGAAAAGAAGTCAGATACTCTGAGTCTATCTAACAAGGAAAAAGTAAATAAAAACACATTTTAAAAATATCAAGATTATTTTCAGAGTACTGAAGTTTCCACTTGTTTGGGGAAGGTACAGTTAATTTAGGGATTGCAATCACATTGGAATAATTGTAAGTACAGGTTAAATACCTATTGGGTATGCATTTCTAAAGTAGATAACTGCCAAGAGATCATGGGAGATCAGTTTGTGAGAAGACCCTCATTTTTACTTGATAGATAAAGAGATAGATAGTATGTTGTTGTTGCTGTTGTTAGGAGCCATTGAATCAGTTCCAACTCTGACCCTATGGAGGGTTTCCAAGGTTATACATCTTTATGGGAGCAGAAAGCCTCATCTTTCTCTCGTGGAATAGCCAATGGATTTGAACTGCTGACCTTTCAGTTCACAGTCCAATGCTTATCCACCTGTCAGATACTAAGGTTGAAAGCACTGAGCTTTCATCATCATCCTAAGGATAGTTTTCTAATTCTTATAGACAATCCAAACTGTTCACAGGTATGCATGAAAAAGTCTAAATTTTCTTCTGATATGTGCAGTATGTAACATGAACAAACCCCACTGATTTCTTTATAAATGAAGATGAGCCATATTAATTAAACCATGCAATGTTATAAAACTGGAATTGCTGTAGTATTGTACAGTAAAAGGAAGAATATATTATGAAAAGTTTCTTACAGTGAGTTCAGTTCCATCTGCCATACAGTAATTAAAAGTGACACCAAGATCAAACACAATTTCAATGCTTCGAAAAGCACTTGTTTCTTTGATCGTGAATTTATTTCCTTCTTGTGTAATGATCACTTTCAAATTGTCATGTGCTGCAAGCTTCCTTTTCACAACATTAACACCTGCAAAGAGAAAGAGATGGAAGAAAATAAAGCTATAGAAAGTGTTTATTTTCCCAAGTTCAGTCCTTTTAAAATTTTTTTCTTCTGAGTATGGAGAGGAAAACTCAGTAGCATTCACATGGCTTCTGTAGAAAAAGTTAAAATTCAATTGCCTCAAGAGAATGGATTTAAGCTATTTTCCCTAAACTTAAAGGAGCCACAGAATTATAAAATCTTAAAGCTGGGTAATTTTATTAAAATAACTAGACATTGTATTTAGTGTTACACACTCAGTACCACCGAGTTGAATCTGACTTATAATGACACTATAGACCCAGTAGAAGTGCTCCTGGGTTTCTGAAGTTGTAAATCTTTACATAAGCAGATGGCCTCAGCTTTCTCTTGTCAAGTGACTGCTGGGTTCAAACAACAGACCTTTTGGTTAGCAACCAAAGGCTTAACCCACTGTGCCACCAATGTTATATTTCAGTGTTAAGTAAACCAAATTCCAGAAAGGTCAAATGAAGGATTAAAAAATACATTCATGTATTTATAAGGATAGATAACTTTAACCCTGAGTATACAGTATTCTATTTTAAATAACCCCTTTGCTTTCCATAATGGCTTTAAAATTTATGAACATTCGCACAAAGACTGAATAAAACAACCAAAAAAATATATATATTTTGCTTTTCAAGGGATAGCACTCAAAGAACAAACTATTTTTCCTAGTATAAGTGAGGATGTAGTTTTTTCTTTGAGCTATCACATCTTAGGATCTTACTGCCTCACCAGATGCCATTCTCCAAGTCCAGAGGTTTGGAGGGAATTAAAAAGAAAAATGTCCGTAATAAAGCAAAGAAGTAGTATCTAAAGAATGCAGTTCTTACCCAATTTTTCCATGAACTTGTCATAGTTTTCATTCCGGTCTACCTTCCAGGTACCATCAAATGCCATGATCTTCAGTTGAGTCAGCCTCTAGACAAGTAGAGATTCAGGACTGTGTTTAGCTGAGAATTTATTCTATTTCTTATCTTAGATCCAATTTCATACTGTGATGTGGAAGGTTAAAGTTCAAGAGATCACACTCTAATATCTAATTACTCTAGCTTCGCTTTTCACGAACTCCTTAGCTCCTCTCTTGAAATTCAACGGAGTTAAAACATAGTAAGTGCAGGGTGGAAGTGGGATAAGTGATATTAAACTGTGGGGGTTGCAATCAATGACATGAAACAAAATGAATTACTGAATGGAAAATTGATCTCACCCAAGTCATAATATTTTTAAATAAAAGGAAGTCCTTTACATTTAACAAAAAGTTAAAAAACAAAGAAAGAAGCAGATACCATAATAAGCATACCAACTAGGTCTTAAACTACAGTTTGCAAGCACATTTATTTCAAGAAATCATACGTAAGCTTTCTGAAGCTAGTTTTCTACTTACAAGTTCAAAGTGCACACTACATTGAAGGTAATGTAATTCAGAGCACATATCAAGTAACATCTGAAAAATTAAGTGTTTAATGGCTTACCCTTTCTTTTTTACAATAGCAATGACCTTGTAAAGTAAGACTTTATGACCAAACAGAGTTAAAAAGTTAAAGCTAATACGATTACAGAGACTGAAAGTTTATATTCTCACATGTCCTTTTATACCGTGTTTAGGGCTGTCCAGGGGTTGGAACAAATCTGATAGAAACTGGCACTGTGTCTGACACAGTAAGTACTCATTATTTTTTACTCTGATCTTGAATAGTGATAGATCACTGAGCAAACTGTCAAGAGGCAGAAATAAGGCTGGAAAACATGAAAGCTCCCATATGAGAAAGAATCCATTTTAAACATCTTCCATGTGCTGAGGAAGCAAAAGTCAGATGCCATTCCTTTGTTTTACTCTCACAGCCTTTCTACTTCAACCTTGAAAGTGTCAGAAGCCAACACTCAGTATGTATGTGGGCTGGGGTTATGGCTGCTGTTAAGTTGTGGTCTAGTCCACTCTGACTATGGTGACCCCAAGTGTTCAAAATAGAACTGCTCCTTAAGATTTTCAAAAGGAATTGGGTGGGTTCTGACAGCCAACTTTTGGACTAAAGTCAAATGCTTAACCATGTGCTCCATTTAAAAGAAATGGGAGTGGCTGAAAAGGTAAGAAGAGAAGACAACCATACCCTCCCCTTCCCCACTGTAAGCTTTCAGCCTGGAGCAGGCTGGAACTGGAAGAGGAAAAATGTTAACTGTGCATGAAGTGGAGAGTTTGACTATTATTTAGCTTCAACGTATTAAGTAAATTAAAAAGACTATTATTGTGACAGAACATGACAGAGAACTTCTTGTTAGTTAAGGGTCAGCAGAGAAGATATGAGAATCCTGGTGTGGCACTGGACTGTTGTTGTTGTTAAGTGCCGTTGAGTCGGTTCCGACCCATAGCGACCCTGTACAGGGTTTCCAAGGGTGTAAATCTTTACGGGAGTAGAAAGCCTCATCTTTCTCCCGCAGAGCAGCTGGTAGTTTCGAACCGCTGACCTTAAGGTTCGCAGCCCGATTCGTAACCACTACGCTACCAGAGCTCCCTCCAGTGGCACTGGACTACTAACCGAAAAATTGGCAGTTCAAGTCCACCAGCCACTCATTGGAAACACTATGCAGATGATACAATCTTGCTTGCTGAAAGTGAAGAGGACTTAAAACATTTACTGATGAAGCTCAAAGAGCACAGCCTTCAGTATGGATTACATCTCAATGTCAAGAAAACAAAAATGCTCACCACTGGACCAATAAACAACATTCTTATCAATGGAGAAAAGATTGAAGTTGTCAAGGACTTCATTCTTCTTGGATCAACTATCAACACTCGTGGAAGTAGCAGTCAAGAGATCAGACGACGTATTGCACTGGGCAAATCTGCTGCACAGGAACTTTTTAAAGTGTTGAAGAGCCGAGATGTCAGCTTGAGGACTAGGGTGCGCCTGACCCAGGCCATTGTGTTTTCAATAGCCTCATATGGATGCGAAAGCTGGACAGTGAATAAGGAGGATCATAGAAGAATTGATGCCTTTGAGTTGTGGTGTTGGAGGAGAATACTGAAAGTGCCATGGACTGCCAAAAGAACTAATAGATCTGTTTTGGAAGAAGTGCAGCCAGAGTGCTCCTTGGAGGCCAGGATGGCTAAGCTTCGTCTCTCCTACTTTGGACATATTGTCCGGAGGAAACAGTCGCTGGAGAAGGATGCCATGCTGGGTAGGGTGGAGGGTCAGAGAAGAAGAGGAAGACCCCCAATGAGATGGATCAGCCAGGTGGCATCATTGATGGACTCAAGTGTGGCAGTGGTAGTGAGGTTGGCCCAGGATGGAACATTGTTTCATTCTGCTGTGCATGGGGTCGCTATGAGTCGGTTCTGACTCGATGGCACCTGACAACAACAACAACAAATATTGTGAAGAATGGGCATTCCAGAACACTTAATTGTGCTCATGAGGAACATGTACATAGACCAAGAATAGAACAAGAGAACACTGAATGGTTTAAAATCAGGAGAGGTATGTGCCAAGGTTGCATCCTTTTGCCATACTTGTTCAATCTGTATGTTGAGCAAATAATCTGAGAAGCATATTATATGAAAAAAAAGCATGGCATCAGGATTGGAGAAACACCCATTAGTAACCTGCAATATGCAGATGACACAACTTTGCTCACTGAAAGCAAAGATGACTTGAAATACTTACTGATGAAGATCAAGGACTAGAGCCTTCACTATGGATTGCATCTCAATGAAAAGAAAATGAACATCTTCATAACTGGATCAGTAAATAACATCATGATCAATGGAGAAAATATTGAAGTTGTCAAAACTTCATTTTGTTTGGACCCACAATCACTGCTCATAGAATCAGCAGGCAAGAAAACAAATGTTGCATTGCATTTAGCAAATCTGCTATAAAAGACTTCTATTTTTTTTTTAAATTGTGAATTGAATGATAGTTTACATGGGAGAACATTGGTTTTACACTCATCATTTCATTGCAATGATTACAGTCCCCTCCATGCATCATCATTCGACAGTATTTGCTTCTATTACCTCTGTGGGTTTTGTTTTGTTTTGTTGTTTTGTTTTTTGGTGTGTGTGTGGGATGTACACACAAACACTCAGGAATGTATAATCATTTAAACAACCAAAGGGCACATTCTACAAGCCTGCCTCCTGGCTGCCGCACACAGCCTTTCTCTTTCCATGAATGTAGAGCCCTCAGTTGCTCAATCTCTCCATGTTCTCATCTCTGCCTCCATCTCAGGTGTTGCTACTTCTCTGGATAGGGCACCACATTCCGCTCATGTTCTTCTCCCTTGATGGCTCTAGGAGCCTCTGTTCCTCGAATGTAAGATTAACTACTCACCCCTTTTTGATATAAAACTTCTACCTTTACAGTTGTGACTGTCGCAATTATTCATGACAACAATTACTCACTATTGAATCATGAGAATCTTATCCCCATCTCCTTTCACCAGCCCCATCTAGACAAGATGAAAACTATTTAGTGGGGAGTCCACCTTCCTTCGCACACTCTGAAACTAAACTCCCTCTTGAAAACCTGTAAGTCAGTCACTTCATGTCTTTATTGCCCTTCCCTCATTTTAGGTTATTGTTGTTGTTGTGAAGTGCCATTGAGTTGATTCTGACCCATAGCGAATCTGTATAGGGTTTCCAAGGAGCAGCTGGTGAGCTTGAACTGCCGACCTTGCAGTTCAAATGGCTTTGCAGTCTGGTACATTAACCCACAGCACCACACCAGGACAGCCAGTGTCTAAGCTGCCCATCCTTATAAACTCTTGCCCTTGATACTTGATGTTAAGACTCCTTCCCTCTCAGTTGGTATTTTGAACTACTACATCTATAAGTATAGGTCAAGTTCATCAAATTGTTGCAATTTACACTTATTTCCTTTACCAAATTCCTTTTAATCTTCCTATATTCGAGTTCTGACCATCGCCATCAAGGCTAGGTCAAATGGCACTATTTGCGAGTTTGGGCGTTCTTGTGTGTCTCCCCTCACGTCTTAGCAGCTGCATGCTTTGGGCTCAGCTCTAGTTCTCCGTGGCAATGTCCCTGCCCATGGACTCAGGAGTCTCCAGGTCTCACCATACTTCAGACCAACTAGCCCTTCCTCTTCTCTCTCTCATCTCTATGTCAATGGGAGTCTATGGAATGTGGTCAAACTCAGCCCATATCTTCATTGCTGCTTTTCCCCCTCTTCCACTCACCAGCAAACCAACATTTGTCACCACCAAGCTTACATGCCTGCTTGTGTGTTCCCTTTGAGTTTCAGTTTTGTAGGAGGGTTTGTCCTGAAGGGACTTGATTGCTTGTCTTGATGGCTCCCCGGCAAACAACTTGCTTGATCTTGTAGTAGCCAATCAGACTTCCGTTTTTGTTTTTTATTTTTCCTGCTGGTCTTTCTTTCAGGAAGTATCTATCTGCTGTTCCTCTAGCTACTCCAGGCTGGTATGTTTGTCCTTTCAAGTGGGAATGTCCCACCTCAGAAGGTTCTGGATGGCACTCAGGATTCCTATACATTTCAAAAGCTATGCAAGAAGTCTATTTCACTGGGCAAGTTCTAGAACCCCTTTGAAGTATTCCAATCAGTTATAGACGGAAGATGGGCTTACAAGCTTTTTGTAATCATGTTTCCTGGCATTCCTTTCTATCCCACTCAAGTGTCTATTTTATAATAGTCGGCAAGGGGAACCAATATTCATGAGACAGTCAAGCACCCTAACATTATTTCCCCTCTTTTACCTATTCAGACTATGCATTGATCCTTGTATCATAAAGCCCTGTGGTTTCAAAGTTGAGCATACATTACTATTTACCCATTTAGCCCATGCAAACCTGCCTCAGTGTTCCCTTATCTACCTTGTTCTTCCATCTCTCTCCCCCTTCGTGTGTATTTCCCTCCCCAACA